AGGAATCTTGAAGATCAGGATAATCACGCCGCCCAGAAGAACTCCGACCAAGATGTTGGACCCCACGATACCCATGATAAACATGAGGTTCAGAAATGACACGTCGAGCTTCGCACAGTAGGTGGAGCAGATAATGCGGGCAATGGAGAACGAGATGAGCACGATAAACTCAGCTGTCATGGTCGCCCCGAGCATCAGACTCGTAAAGGGACCGGCACTGTTGAGCTCAATCTTGATGGCCATGACCGTTGCTGGTGATCCCAGGACCGAGATGGACCCGAACATCAGCGCAATGCCCAATTGACACAGCATGCCCATGTCATCGTAGAAGAAGAAACTCTCGGTAAGCATAGTGGCCGATGTGAGGATGATCATGGCAGTCACGTACAAGACACCGAGCAGAGCCATGATCGACTTGACTTGGGGTTTCAGTTCCGGCCAGTAGATTTCCTGACCGGCCTGGAATGAGATGAATGACAGTGCGAGAGCACTCACGTAGCTCGCGAGCAACGACACCATCTCTTGTGTGATCAGGTTAGCGATGAAAGGACCCGCAATGATCCCGATGAAGAGGTAGCCCGTAATGAGCGGTAGCTTGAACAGCCTGGGAAAGTACAGTCCAAGAGGGTGGGCCGCCACGAGTACGATAACGAAGGCCAGGACGTACTTCAGCGTATCGATCGTGTTGCCCCACGAGTTAAAGGGCACGGTCTTGTTCTTGTCCTTGCCACCGCCTCCACTGAGTCGACGTGTCACCTCATCGTTGTCACCGATTTCGTCCCGTAGCACTGGAAAAGCTGTTACAGCCGGCAAGGATGTGGCAACGAAGAGTGTGAGCGCAAGCAAGAGCAGAGTCGAGTGCGGTGAGATAAGCGGACGCCTCGCGAGGACGGAATCGAGCATTTCGTATATCGGTGGCAATGGTGTCCTCCTGGCACGAAGTCGTCTGCTCACGGAAGGAGATTGTAGACTGAAGGAGTTGCGCTGCGGTGCAGTCCATTTTTAGCGCAACGTTGTCAGGCCACGAAGGCTCAAGCAGTTGGCAATGTTTAACATGCTGCGTGCTCTACGTGAAAATGTCGTGGCGTAACGGCTGGCCGCTCATCGTTCGCCCGTGCTCTTCAGCCGCTGGCTGCCTCAGGAAGCTGCATTAACGCGCATGTGTTCGACTCATGAAGCTTTAACCCTGCTCTTTTTGCAAGAATCGTTAGACCGACACCATCCGTTTTAAGACAATTGGTTTCACAACAACATCCGTTGCGGGGATGCAAGCGATGCAACGTCCGTTCATGATTGTGATTACCTCTTCTTGATAAAAAGCTGGCCGACGATATCGTGGCCACGGGAAGGAAGTTCACATCTGACCGCGGTCAAGTATCGGCTTTCTCTCTATGTTCTACATAGGATCAGTGTCAACTAAGGAGCTTCGTCACGCTGAACTGTACGGGGTGCAAAGTATTCACGAAATCCAGACTAAGCATCGCGATGCAGCTCGAAAGATGGCACTCCGACAGGCGAGACACGTTGCATTAATTGCGTATACGTTCGAGGACTTTGTGCAAGAGAGCTCCCAAGCTGAGTGTATCACAGTCCGCATTACGGCGGTTAGTAGCGGCACCCCCGCAGGTGTCCTATCTTTTCTTTTATTGGGATTGAATTAGCACAAAGTCTGCTATTTGCTTTCTGGTCTGCGGCTCCGTCCTGGTTCGACTTAGACTTGTCCACGGTGCGGCGGGGTCGCATTGCTGGGACGAGATAGAGTGACTGGGTCTCTTAGGAAGGTCGGGTCCAACTGCAGCAGGGACACGACGGGATTTGTTGTTCTTTTATAACGCAACCACCTGAGCTGGTTACGAATACTGACGTAGAGAATTTACTCTAGGCTTAACGACTCTGACTACGCAACATCGTGTCTGCGCCCATCCCCGATGCTATCGGTACGTTTGGATATGAACCGCGACGCGAATGTATCTATTCGAAAGACGGTTTCTCGTTTAATGGTCGAGCTCCACATACGACATCTTGTTTTGGCATTGAAACCAATGTTACAGCCTTTATGTACTATTGTCAGCGCCTGCCTCTAGTATGGGATCGTGTTTCAACGCGCTGCAACGTTTACGCTCGACCACTCCATATCTACTGACGAGTCAACATTATGGCATGGCAATGGTGGTCGTGCATCACCGGCACGTCACAGTGTTACAGACCCTGGCTCATCTGTTTTGGACTTATCTAAGGTCCGCGCGGGTCGGAGTAAACTTCTCATGGCAAGAGTAACAGCAGTGCATCTGCGAGTCACTTCTTGCGCATATTTCAGGCTCCAGAAGTGATGCCGCACCAGAGGCACAGACTGCTTTCCGATTCTAAGACAATTTTGAGGTAGGTGTATAAATGTAGTATGAAAATGGATTCGGTCGATTACGTGTATCATTTACTCAGGTCACTCACGGAGTGAGGGTAGTGATCCTGTCTTTTGAGAGTGCAAACCACAGCACATCAACGCGTCTTACAGCCTTCGGAGATTGGAACAGGTCGCCTAACAGCGCTAGTGAACGCAAACATTGAGGAAATAGTACATATTCTGTCGGGATTTGTCACACACTCGGATCGCTTCTGTAGAATGTCACGACTTATGACGGTGATGTGCGTGTCGTGAAAAGGGCAACTTGCATGGACAGTGGTCTCCGAACTATCTGGATTGAGTTGATTAGTTTATGAGGTGATTTATATATTCATTTTAGCAGTAGTTTTAACTCTTAATACTACTTTCCATTTTGCAGCACAGAGAAGTAGTTAAGCTTTTGTTACAGGTTATGAGCCCAAATACGTTGGCTCCCAATGACATCCTCACGGATGACAATTACTTTATGTGGGAATTCAATGCACGCATGGCACTCGCGCGCAAGGATCTTTTGGATCACGTTTTAGTTGAGACAGAGCCGGCAGTGCTACGGGAGAATCCCGGATGGAAAGTCGCCGATATGAAGGCTCTGGCTGTGCTGGTAAAGCTGCTCTCTCCAACCTATCAGTGTGTAATTTAAGAACGTGAGTCTGCTATTGAGGCCTGGGAGGTGTTGAAGACGTTCTTTGCGAAGAGGAATCTTCAGAACCGAGTGCAACTTCGAAAGGAACTCCATAAGTTTGTGATGGAGACTGGTACTAATCTGATTGATCATCTACTGAAGTTTTATGAGCTGTGTCTAAAGCTCAGGGCGGCCGGTGACAGCATGGATGATGATGAGAAGCTGATTTTTCTTCTGGGAAGTTTATCATCTGAATACGATGATATGGTGCGCATTATCGAGGCACACAGTAACGTGACGCTGCGGGACGAGAAAGAAATGCTCCGTCGTGAGTATGACACTCTTCAGAAGCGAGACAAGAAGGAAACCGCTTATAAGGCGCATGCTCAGCGCAATGAACCTAGACGTTTTAATGGGAACCGAGGACACCGTGGGCAAACAGAAAATCAAATCCGCTACCCAAGTTCGAGAAGAGGAAAGGCTAATGCAAGTTTTCAAGGCAAGTGCTTTAGATGTGGACGGCACGGACACAAACGATCGCAGTGTCGTAACGTGAAGCCATCGAGACCTGGTGATGAGTTTGTTTTCTCGGCATCCAGTGACAAAACAATTTCGAGTTCGACTTGGTTGCTGGATAGTGGTGCAAGTCGTCATATGACTGATGACAAACGTGAATTTGTGGAGTACGAAGATTTAATTACCCCAATTTGCATTACTGTGGCGAATGGACAGCAGTTGAAGGCACAAGGAACAGGCACTGTGCGATTTGTACTCGAAAATGGTCGCACAGTCAAGCTTACGGAGGTGTTACATGTGCCTGGTCTAGACATGAAACTTGTGTCGGTAACAGCACTGACGGCCCGAGGCGTAATTGTTCAGTTTAAGCACGATCAAGCAGTTCTTATGAGCGATTACATGACTGTAGCAGTGATTAAAAGAGTGGGAAAGCTGTTTGCGTGAAATGTGAAACATCATGTCACATTTGAGGCACACAAGGCTGATAGCAGTGTTGTTTTCGATGACACTAGTGGACTATGGCATGCTCGCCTGGGTCATGTTTCTGAAACCAAGATCATGCAAGCGATGAAGTCTTGCGGTGGCACCCCGAAAGTTGATGCACCGGATGGCGATGTATGCGATGGATGTGCACGCGGGAAAATGACAAACAGCCCGTTCAGTCATACTTCAGGAAGTGAAGTTAAGGCAAGCCGACCACTCGAGATCGTGCATACCGATCTTATGGGTCCTATGAACCCAAAGTCGAAGGGTGGGGCTCTTTACGTACTCACATTTATTGACGACTACAGCCGATTTGTCTACGTATACTTGCTAGCAGCAAAGTCACAAGTTTTCGAACGATTCAAGGCGTTTCGTGCTATGGTGGAGACGCAAACGGATTGCAATATTAAGTGCATTCGCAGTGACAATGGTGGGGAGTATACAAATCATCGGTTTAACAAGTACTGTGGTGATCTTGGTATTATTCACCGAACAAGCGTGCCGTACACTCCTCAACAGAACAATTTAGCGGAGCGGATGAATCGAACCCTTGTTGAGATGGCCCGCGCGATGATATATCACAGGGAAGTTGATCGTACGTGGTGGGGTGAGGCTATTATGGCGGCTGCGTACACAATCAATCGGATTCCGAATACTGCACGACCTAACACAAGTCCATTCGAAACGCTGCATGGTTCGAAGCCAGACCTGAGCCATTTTCGTGTTTTTGGTTCAACTGGATATCTACGAGTCGCGGATTGTAAGCGCACAAAATGGGACAGCAAGGCCAACAAGTGCATATTTCTCGGGTATTCGGAAACGTCAAAGGCATACCGAGTGTGGGATCTGGATAGACAACAATTGGTCATGACTAGGTCCGTTAATTTAAATGAGCGACCTCCTTCACGGTACAAAGATGTCATTGTTCTACGTGACCCTATTTCTCACTGCAAGAACTCTCATGATGAATGCGACGAAATGGAGGTGGCCGTACTTTACTCGAAAAAGATTGGAGAGGTTGCGGATATGGACATTGATGAGACTGCTGACAATGAACAAAGTTGGGAAGATATGGTTGTGGATGCGTCTGGAGATTTCAATCTGTCACATGTTTTAGCTGTTGTTCCGATTGAGGGGGAGTGCACGGATATGCAAGTCATTGCCACAAACGATTCAATGAAAGGTCGCACACCACTCGAACCGGTTGCTAGAGGTGGCGATAATCATACGCACATGTTTCAAGGTTCACCAGATCAGTCGCAAGCTATTGTACTGTGTGACGAACCCCCTTCCCAAGGTGACCGACTGGAGATATACTCGGGGTCTAACAAAAGGCCTTATAGTACACCAACTCGTCTGCTTACTCATGATGGTTTTGACGATGAGAAGATTATTTTACCGCTTCTGGCTGATGGATCGCCGGTAGACAGCGAACACGATGAGCCAGACCACAAACGTCAATGTGGTGACGGTTACGAAATTTCGCTTTCTGCTACTGATGTACCGATGAATTTACGAGAGGCGCTGCAGTCAATCGACGCGAAACAATGGAAAGCAGCGATTAAAGCAGAATTTTTTTAAAGCCCATATAAAGAACCACACATGGGACGCTGTCTATCGTTCTCCAGGTGTCAAGGTCATTGGTCACAAGTGGGTATTTGGGCACAAATATGACGAAAAAGGTAATATTGTTCGTTACAAAGCGCGTTTGGTTGCCTTCGGATATCTACAAACGCATGGTTTTGATTATTTCGACACATATTCACCTGTCGCGTGCTCAAACACGATTCGTGTGTTCTTGTCGGTTTGTTGCAGTATGCAATGTGTGATTCGGCAATTTGACGTGGAAACGGCGTGTTAAAATGGTGATTTGGAAGAAGAAGTCTACATGGAGCCACCCGTTGGAGTCGAAATTGCACCTGGAATGGTGTGCAAACTACGCCGCAGTTTAAAAGGATTTAAACAAGCAGCAGCGGTTTGGCACAAGAAAATATGCTTTGTGTTTTCTGCCATGGGCTTCGAACAATGTCGAGCAGACACATGTCTTTTGTCCGACGCAATCATACAAACAATCAGTCACACACATACATAGTCTTGTATGTGGACGACCTCCTGATTGGATGCAAGTCAGATGCAGAGGCTGACACGATTTTCAAGGAACTTTCAGAGCATTTTACTGTGAAATCACTTGGAGCTGCGCGATTTATATTGGGCATGGAGGTAAACTACTCAAAAGAAAAGGGAGAATTGGCGCTAAGACAGACCCAATTTATTCTGAAGTTGGTCTCGAAGTTTGATCAAAATGGAGCTTACGCAGTACGCAACCCTATCTGCGCAGGCCAGGACTTAACTCTGGATGAATCACACCCAGTGCTGAAGGACATCACTTCGTATCGCAATTTGGTCGGTTCGCTGCTGTATATTGCGAACGCAACGCGACCGGACATAAGTTACGCGATGTCAGTGCTATCGCAGTACTTGGATCAGCCACGCCAGATGCACTGGCGTGCGGCTCTACGCGTCTTGCACTATCTTGGGAACACTATCGTATGGAATTGCGTACAAGAAATCAGACGAAAATAAGATGATGCTTCGGGTATACTGTGATGCGAATTGGGCCAACGATAAGAAGACTCGTCGATCTACGTCTGGTGTTTTGATTCTGCTCGGAGGTGCAGTTGTGGTTTATAAAAACAAACGCGGTGGCTTTATCCTCTGCTGAAGCAGAATATATGGCATTGGCACTAGCTAAGCAAGAAGTGATGTGGATTCGTTATTTGCTGAAGGAGATGGGTGTGATGTATAAGACTGCGACAACGGTTCACATGGACAACAAGTCAGCGATTAGTATCGCGACGAATTAAGGATACACACCAAGAGCTAAACATATCGACCTCAGGGTGCAAATTTTGTGCGAGATCACATTGAGCAAGGTGAGATTCAGCTGAAACATGTTCCGTCAGCTATGCAACTTGCGGATTACCTGACAAAGTCACTTGGTGCACCGCAATTAATGCGACTACGCGATGAAAGTGAAATTAGCGAGAGTGCAAGTTGAAGGGGAATGTAGAAGGTCACGAATTATGACGGTGATGTGCGTGTCGTGAAAAGGGCAACTTGCATGGACAGTGGTCTCCGAACTATCTGGATTGAGTTGATTAGTTTATGAGGTGATTTATATATTCATTTTAGCAGTAGTTTTAACTCTTAATACTACTTTCCATTTTGCAGCACAGAGAAGTAATTGAGCTTTTGTTGCAGCTTCTATCTACCTCAGTACCCTGGAAAACCTCGGCTGCGACAGACAACTGCCACGATCCGGCGTTTTTCTTGGCTCAGACGTTTTCAGGCATTCTGTAAATAATTGCATTGCAACAGACCGTCATGAAATCTCTCTCTCCCTCGCATCCTGCCGGGACACTGTGTCGACGGAATACAAACTGGCCATCGTGTTCTCTAGCTGTCTATTTGAAAAAAGAGAAACAGATTATTTGCTAGGGAGCCGGTTTGCAAGATGTTTGAAAATGTCCATGGCCATGCGATTACTATAGGAAATGATCCTTGTCGTCTACAGGGGCTTTGTCACGCCGGATGCTCACTTGTAATGGTTTCTGGGAACACTTATGTTGCGAAACGTCAGTCGATGCCATATCCCCATCCTGCCCTGCTGCAGTTCATTGATTACGAGTCTCCAAGGTTGTCGAAGGATAGCTTGTCGGACTCTGCTACTTCTTCATCTTCAAATACAAATGGTCAAGCAACGTTTCTGTAGGCAGAAGTCACCACCGTGTGCAGCGTCAGGGTATTTTGAAAACATTTATGAGGAAACTCCGTGCTGTAGCAAAGCGGGAGTGCTGGAGGGCCGATACAGAAGTACAAGGAGCACATCCAATAGTGTGCCGAAGCGTTTTGTCCAAAAGTTCAGAGAGCCGTCATCTAATTTGACACGACCTGTTTAACTACCGGAATTGCTCAGCCGACTAGCGTTACATTTGTCCAACAATCTTGAATCCGATTGACAGATCAATACATTCGTCTGCGTCTCTAAAACGATAAGCTTTGTGATGGATTTGCTACCGATGTCCCGGCATAAAGGTAACCCTTTGCGCAACAAAAAAGAGGAACATTTGATAAGGTGACACGGTTTGAAAATTTGACCAGAACGTGACACGGTTTGTTCAAAACGCTCGTGCAAGAATCGGTACGGTGTAAATTGCACGTACTTTACGAAGTTGGAATCGAAGATTCATCTTAATTTTATGATTTTTAATAGTATTCGTCTAAGTACAATTTAAAAGTTCGGCATTCAACCTTGCGCACACTCATTCATAGCTGCGACCTTCGTTCGGGCTCGCAATGACATGCTTTTTTCAAATTGACAAGCGATTGAAAAAACACGGCAAAATAAAGCATTATGGAGTAACGTTTTGCCAAGATGGACTCCAAGACGTCATATGACGAGCGCACGGCTCTATACGTGCAGGAGAAGGAGATCGAGCAAAACATCGATGGACGGACGGACACTATATCGCTGTGTCAATGATTTCATGTCGATCGTTCTACTGAGTCCGTACGTTGCGGAGTAATATCTACGATGGGCCGTAGCGGACCCTGTTTTAGTGTCGCTTTTTACACATTCTTACAGACACTTTATTTTAACATCGCTTTTTTGGACCAATGTGTAGCACGTGAAAACCAAATGGAACAGTTTTACCGGGACGGCCAAGAAGACGAGTGCAGGTTCAGATTAACATACGTGTACATGTGCTTTCGATCAAGCGTGATCGACGAAAAAAGCGGCAGCAATTTCTCCAGGGCACACCACTAGATGTGTTCAAGGGCCACACGTTACGGACGTGTGGGAGTCAAAAGAGACGACCGACTGGTAGATGGACCTGCCGGTCGTCTCTTAGCAGCATTTACCCGCTTGAATCGCAGATACTTGTGTACTTACTTCCCTACTTACTTACTTGCTTACTCGTCAACTTACATTCAAGTTTTCGACTAGTTCCTCGCTTGCACAGCTCTCCAATGGACTTTTTAGTGCTGCGATTTGCTACAGGCGAGCTGGAACCCACAGCGATAGGCCCATGTCTGAATCGTATGCTCGGCGTTTTTACCCATTGTCCTTGCTGAGGAGGGCAAACGGGTGCATAGGCAAGACTGTCATTTTCGGAATAGACGTCGGGCAGAAGAAACATGAGAAAAGGGACAAGTCACGTCAATTGAATACGAAACAAGGTAATTGTTATCGTCATACATAGGGAGGATCACGTGCACATACAAGCGAAATAGCGTTTTCAGAACTAGCCGACATGGTAGAATCGGTTTAAAAAAGCGTAAAAGATGACGGATGTTTAGTACAAGTTGTACGTGGCGACTAGGGCCGCTGGCGACTCAGGTGACGCGCTTATAAAATTAGAAATTTGCGTGTCTGATATACGATGTTCACGTGGGACGGGGAAAATAGGGGGAAGGAATATCATCGATAGATACACCCCACTTCACACTAAATACACCCCATCCACCTCACCCCTGCTACACCACAATGTGGTTTTGTACAACGGATATTGCACCTAACTACTCCTGTACGATCGCGTTAGCACAATAATCTGCATCTGTCGTGCAAATGGTCAGCGATTTTACCAGTCCGTCTCTTATCTGCGAATTATCCATAGCGTTGGTCACAAATCATCATAAAACACGCATACAGCCCTCAGTCCTCGTCATCCGCTTCGGTAGCAGAATTCATATCTATACTAGAAAGCAGAAATAAACGAAATTGCAAGGAAAAACAAGCAATCGCGTGTTTGTAGCATCTTGCAGGGCTAATATTACGACGTCAGATTGTCGCATCTTGTTCTGGATATCCAAATAGTGACCGCATTGCTCGTTCGGACATTAAAATGTATAGAATGAATACAAGATACGTGTTGAGACCCAGGTAAAAAAAGGGACATTACACACCAAATCGGACGAGCGGATACGTGTCATGCTGCTGGACGATCATTCAATTTTGACCGACTAGGATCAGGTCTAAAGCAGACCAAGGATAGGCTCGATCAAACATACATGTAGCTGTTTGATACCATTTATCGTTCTTGGCGCTTATATTTTCGCTGCGACGTATGTATCCGATTACGTTTGGTAGAACGTGAACTTTTGATTCATCCATTTTTGAGCCTTACTCGACTATATGGCTGTTGTCATTTCTCTAAAGCAGAATAGCCATTTAATTGTATCGGACATGTAGTGACAAGGGCGTCGTGATCGTTATTCGATTCGTTTACGAAGGAAAGAACTTCAATCGTCTATTGTGTGCTAGAAAGTTTGCTTGAGAAGTCACCTACTGTGTACGACAGATGGAAATTGTTGTGCGATAGTGTTCGTTTAGAGGTAGGTAGGCGCGAAATCGTCGTACATAACATATTGCGGTGTTGCACGGGTGTGGTGTATGGGGTGTTTTTGTTGATGTGCGCACTGTCAATGCACGGTAAAAAAGCAAACTGTGATTTGCTACGCACAAGTGGCAAGACAGTGATGGAACGGCAGGGTGTAAACGGTTCACGTGAGGCTTGATG